TCCTTATGCATAATATGTTAATCTAAAATATTAACTTTCTTTTAGAAACGGCAGATAGTTTCCTCTAATAGCTCAGTGGCAAATCTGCCTCTAGAGACACAGAGAAGAGTCACCTCTCGAGGTACAAAATGCCATTGTTATAAAGTTGCAGCAAAAAATTTTAATCAGAATAAAACAGGGCCCAATGAATATCTGCCACATGTTCCTTGCAGCTTCAGGTCCTATGTTATGTTCCTGTCATTGTCACTCGGCAGAGCACTATTATTTTATAACGTTTCATTTAAAAATAGAAATCTCAAGGGACTCTACATTGGGGTCGTATCTGCAATATTGGTAACCCAGATTTAATAATCATAAAAAAAACCTTGTATTTGATGTAGCACCTTATCACATTTTCGAGACGTCTCAAAGCACTTCACAGAATATACTGTGAAGTGAATTGACTATATATGTTGTGGGCGAAACAGGGCAGTCAATTGCGCACAGCCGCGTGCCACAAACAGTCGTGGATTGAGTGATGTGTTACTGAAATGCACCATCTGGTTTGTGGCTCCCAGATCACTGAACTCACGGATCACCAATCACGAATCACAATGTAGGAGTCTGAAAAGAGCCAGCAAGCAACAGGCCACGCAAAACTACCAGCATTCTGCTTATTGAACTCAAAGCGCTTTGAGATGTCTCGAAGACGTGATAAGGTGCTATGTCAAATGCAAGGATTATTATTATTATTATTCACTAATTTAGGATTCGCAGTATGCCTAATGAAAATTTGACCACCATTTACACATTTCACAAAGCGGAATCCACTTTGTGGCCTATACAAAGTGTCCCCCGAGTCCTCCGCTCCGCCCTCGGCGGCCGTGCCTTCAGCCAATATACCTCGAGGCTCTGGAATTCACTTCCTCACTCCCTTCGCCTCGCTCTTCTTACTTTCAGGTCCCTTCTGAAGACCTTTCTTTTCGACCGCTCCTTTGGTCACCTTCCTCCCCCTCCCTCGGCCCCGGGATTCATTACTGTGAAGCGCTCTGAGATGCCGTCCGGCGTGGAGGGCGCTATATAAATCCAAGCTGTTGTTGTTGTTATAGGGAATCGTAAATATTACAACAGAAAAGGTACAGTGTTTACAAAATAATTAATTTGGTAATTTTCTGTAAAATTAAACTTTTGAGGATTTACCTTTGAGGTGTGTCACCGAGATCTCAACATTATAATTGTATCATTATCAAAAAAAAGGCAGAAATACAATTGGGATTTGGCGTATATATTAATTGCATCATATCTTGTTGAAATACTGATGCCTGATGGAGGCCAAGGCAGAATGGCAGAATGCAAAATACTTTGTGTGACCTGTGTATATGCGTGAGTGCACTTGTGTGCGACGTCTCTATGTTTTTTGTGTGTATGGCCATTCTGCAACTGTTTCCGAGGAAGATCCAGGTTTACCATATACATTTCCAAAACGTGCTTTAAAAATATTGCTCATTAATTTATTATTTCTATTTCTTTTATACATTTGATTAATTAGAGGAGTGAAAGTGAAAAAAAATGGAGTTAATGTTGACTTTGCACAAGGGACAGACCTAGTACTATATTGCTGGAGGTGCATTAGTGCAGTTAATGAGAGCCCTACTATTAAGCAGCTCGATCTGCTCTCCCTTTACAAATGTATTCACACACTTTCCCTTTCCTGGAGCCTGTCAGTGTTCACCTTCGCTACAATCAGTTTCAGCAGCAGAAGCATTTAATCTTTTGTCTCCAGGTAGCCTCATGGTTCTGCGCTCGCTGAAGCTTCTTTCTATGAGGCTGACACTGAACCCTAAAAAATGGCTGAAATGCACTCCATTTAAATAAATGAGACCATCTGTTAAAATGCTTCTGGATTATTGAAGAAATTAAATTCACTTGGAGTGACATCTTTTATTACATTGAGAATATTTGACAAAATTGGGATTCCCAAAGTAAATGGAGGGTAAATGGACTAAGTGCATGTTATTGAACCGTACAAATCAGAAACGATTTGAATCATTAGCTAAAAGCAACCAAGAAAGTGGGAAGAGACAATTGATTTCAATGCTCCCGGTGGGTAAACCCATTCTGAAAACTACATACGTGTGTATGTACATAGGATTTTCTATCTGGATCTAGATTTACTCTATTTATAAAGCATTTTAGTGCATCCACAATTTGGCAAGAACTTCCAGAACTCAGGGTCTGTTGACTTCAAAACTAAGGCTGTGTTTAGGAATTTTCTAATTCTGGATGCTCTGAAAGGTTATGTTTATAGAGTTAACCCAGACCCACGTGAAATCTCTCCCCATAGATAGAAACAATTGCTTAGCTGCACTTTCACCTTACCCTTCCCCCCATGGCGAACAGATAACTGACATTCACTGATCAGCTTACACACAAAAAAGCCATTTGGAAGAGATACCAGTGGTCTGTCTTAAGAGTTGGCAAGTAGACTCAGTTTGAAATGAGACAGGTCTTCTGGAACGACAATCTTGAAATAACTCGGGACATACATATTCGAGACATGTCTCTCCTTCTCTCTACCCCCCTAGAACAAAAAACAGACACACACTTTACACACACACACACATACACACACAGATTGGAAGAACCTTCAAAAATGAACATATCTGAAAATATAACCTCATACCCTCGCCAAGCTCCCCCACTCACAATGCACAAGATGAATTCAAATGTTTCAAGAACAACCATCTTGAAACGTCAATCCAAATGTGCTAAAGTAACCATATCATCAACTGCAGGACAAATACCTTCTACTCGTACCATACAAAATGGAGTCTCCATAACACTTCCTTTTACTAGGTGATAAGAATGAAAAAAAATCAGGCTCCATTCTGGATTGTACACTCTGAATAACAAAAAGCCAGTAGCAAAATCCAATTGTTATATTTTGAATATTATACAAAAGGAGGAATGCATAAAAATACTTTGTTGGTTTAATTTAATTTTTCTTTTCCAATTCAGTCTTTGAGTCTACGAAAAGGAAAGGTCAGGTGCAGCACTCTATTCCAAATTTCATTCAGCACAAAACACAAAAAATCCATTGAAATGTCAGACTCTTGCTTCCAAAAGTCATACAAATTCTATTCCAGCGTTCTTGCACCAGCAAGTTTAGGGCAGTCCTTCCCTTTATGACAATTATCAACCCTAGCTGCCTGCCGTATACTCAATTCATTTTTCCAGAGACATCGACTTGCCTCTTCAATCCATTTACACTGTCTGTTTCAATGACCTTTCTCAGAATCCTCTTCCACAAATCTATTGCCTATTACGTAAAATAAGTTCTGCCTGCCTGACTGATTTTCTCATTTTTAAACTCTTGTCCCCTTGGCATTTGAAACATTTACTGTAAGTACAATGTGACATGTTACCTCAGATAAAAAACTTCCATTGGATCATCTGACAGTTTCCTCTTTTCAAAAAGTTGAACTTCCTCAAACTTTCCTCAAATTTGTTCTCAATTCTATATCTTTGCATCCTTAAATTTAACCGCTGCCTTCTTAACTTTTGCATCAATATTTCACTTCCCACTATACCTCTCCGACCTACTATCCCCCTACCTACCTGCCCGTACCCTCCGTTCCTCTGGCTCCGGTCTGCTCCACATCCCCCGCCCCAACCGCCCTACCATCGGTGGCCGGGCCTTCAGCCTCTCAGCCCCGAGGCTCTGGAACTCCATCACCCAGTGCCTTCGCCGCCTCCTCCCTTTCCTCCTTCAAGGCCGGTCTCAAGACCTTTCTCTTTGACCGTTCCTTCAGTTCCCCTCTCGACCCTCTACCCCCTCCTCGCTCCCTTCCCTCCGCTCACCCTGACCATTTCCCCCTTGCTCTGGTCCTGACCCAACTGTACAGCGCCTTGGGACGTCCTCCCGACGTGAAAGGCGCTCTATAAATGGAATCTTGTTGTTGTGTTGTTCTCTGTTGCCCCTCGTTCCATTCTAATTCAGTCTGGATTAATTTTCATTAATCAATCCGACAAACCCTTTCGAAACATTTCAAAACTACATCCTGACACGTACTGTTAACCACAGGCCCAGATACATCATGTTGTTCCAGTTTTCTACTCAGTTAACATAATTTTTGAATGACTTGAATCTGTCAGTGCTGGTGGCTGAGAGACTGAAAGAACTGATGAAGAAAGGCATTCGATTACCAAAACATGGTGCAAGCCAGCAGTTTCTGTCCAGTTGAAGGAGCGACATAACACCTAGAAGGTCACCATTACCCCATGAAGGGGGCCAGGTAATTGCATCAGTGAGCCTCCTTATTCATTGATTATGTGTCAGTCATCAGACTGCATAACACATTCTGCCCTTCACTCTATCAGATTTTTGTACAGCAATGATAAAACTCAAGTGTAAATTAGTTAAATCTACAGATATCACCAAGTTGGTAGGAACTGTGGCAGGAGAAGAGGCCGTGAAAAGAGCTTGAAGTGGTCTGCACGTGGGCTGATGACTGTCAAATGGTATTCAATACAGATAAATGCAAGGTGCTGTAGGTAGGAAATAAGAATATGAAGCACATGTACTCGATGGATGGGATAGAACTTGCAAAGAAGGAAGCTGAATGAAATCTGGAGGTGTTAGTTGGTTGCTCAATCATCGTGTCAAAACAGTGTGAGGCAGCAATAACAAGCGACAAGATGTTAAGCTACATTGCAAAACTAGTTGAGTTCATAGTTAAGCAGCCATTCTTAACCTGTATCATGCTCTCTTAGGCCGCCCTAGATAATGTATTACATTAAGATTGGATTGCTATGACAAAACAGACCTATCCAGGCCTAGCACCAATCAATGTTTTCAGGACAGGACACAGAAACCCCCTCTGAAAATATCATGTGAAATAGAGTGGGCTCAAAGAAGCACATAGTACAGCAGTAACAAAAGGATATCTGCAGAGCACAGGCGAGCAGTGTTGGACCTGTTGCTTATTAATCAGAGGCACATCAGCAGGAGCTTTACTTACAAAACTGCAGGCTGAGGCTCAGGACAGCCAGCAGGGCAGCCACTGCCAGGAGGAAGAGAAAACGACTCCGGAAAAACATTGTCACAAACATCTTCACACTCCCATCATGACTGTACCTCCAGACTTGCTCTCCCCCTGCGAAAACAAGTGCAACAATACCGCAGTGAGGCAGGAGAAAGAACAGATCGGTGATTCTAACACGCAGTAGCCTAATGACTAGACTTGGAAGAGGTCAACGCATCTGTGGATGAAGCATCTGTTGCTATGGCAATTGGACCTTTTTTTTGAAAAAAGTATTCAGTTCTAGTTAATATAACCAATTCATGCCTGGGCAACATCTCAAAGCCATTACCAACAGCTCTGCTCCAATAAAGCTTTCCTACTCTGAAATAATATAGCGAGTACAGATTTATTTCAGCCTCAGAATCTCTGCCTTGTGCCCTAAATCCAATCATAACCATACAATACCTTCCCGTTTAGAGAGCTACAGTTATTTCAAATCAATTGGAAATTACTGTAATGTTCTGGGTACTGTACATCTGAAAACCAAAATGGTTACCTGCAATTGTTTCAAACGGATACCTAACAAAAGGATCAGGCAGCATACATTAGCACCAAGACATTCTCCTGCAAATGAAAACCTTAAAGGCAAGGTTTTCAAAAAAATAATAATTCACTATTGGATTAACAACAATTTCACTGAACAGATGCATACATGACCTTATACAACAGTAGGTTTAGGATTATAAATTGGATTCTATTTTGACCCCCAGGTCAAATTTTCAGCAGTCCATTATTAGATTTAAGGAGCTAATGCAGAGAAAAACAATGGTGCAGTAACTATATTCTGCTCTGGAAATGTTTTCACCATACCTTGTAAATAGGATAATATATTGTAGTTACAGAGAGCAACACTAGAAATGTCTTGACTCCCTCAAGATTAACATAGTTAAATGTGCCATTTTGCAACATACTGCCATATCAATCATTAGCTAAACTAGAGCAAAGTTCTCGACTGGGTGCACGCCAAGGAATGCTGGAGAGACATCACCATGGAGATAGCAACCACTGACTTCCAGTTTGTCCACAATGGCCCAGCAGATTGCCTATAAGGTGGTCTATGACAAATCAATGAAGCTCGAGTTGCAGTGTTTCACTATCAGATTGGATGGGTTGTTTCTTTGGTTCCCAACTGCCAGAATAAAGGAACGTTAGGCAATGGGAATGGAGGACCATTAAAAACAAACATTTTCCCTCGACTCTATCCAATGTTGAGGCCATACCATAAATAGTGACATCATTTGTACGGGGAGTGAAACATTGGTATTATTGTGAGGTCAGAACATTTATTCACTTGTTCAAAAAATGACACTCAATATTACAGCAAAATAATTTAAGTTGATAACAGCCAGTCAATATTTCAAAACCAGCATATATCTACAACTGCATCCTTTGCACAGTAGGTTTACACTGTACAAAGTCAGATAAGATAAATTAATTTATGATTTTTGTTTTCTCCTGGCAGTAAAATTCCGGCCTGGACTTGCACAACTGGCTGTGCAGCTTCTCCGCACACTTTTTCAAATAGGCTGCTGCCTCCAATTATCCTATTATCACTGCTAACAAGGTTTCAACATTCACCAGTTTCTTCAATTAATGGGACCTCACAATAAGTTTCAGCACTGCTGATCACTATCACAGAGGAAGAAGGAGAAAAGAATAAATGGTTAAAAAAAATTTTAAAAAGTACAACTTGAATTTTTTTAAAAATCGGAACTACCACATTATCAGAATTCTCTCTGTCACACCTATAGCAACTGTTCAAGGAGTGGGACTTCAGTCATTATTTAGCCTGGTCATCGCCAATGGAGCCTCTTTATTTCAATCTCTGGACACTTGCTCACACTGTACAATTCCTCAAGGATGGTGATGTAAAGCATCTCATACTCCAAGCTACACTGTGGGATGTTATAAGTGCTTTTTGCAATTGGTGACAATCAATTTGCAAGCATCAGGAGCACAACTCACATTTTATAATCCACAGCGTGTGCCCAAACAGGATTCCGATACATGCATAAAGCACAAAGAAAAGGGATTTCTATTCTCAAGACCTTCAAATGCTGCAATCAGATTTTCTTCCAAAAGTCAAAAGCCCTAAGGCAGCCCCATAACGTGTATCATTGATGTTTTCTTTTATACCACACAACACAGCAGCTAACGTAATTTATTCAATCTGATGCATGAAGGGGGAAAAAAAATCACTAGCATGCTTGCTTCAATCAATTATTTTCCTCAAATAAAGATAATTATTATAAGATCACTATTATGTTCCTCATTTGCTGCTGAAATATTTTGTAACTTTGCATGCAAGTATTTTAGAGTGCTTTACGGGAAAAAAACCACAAGAGGTCTATCGTATACTAAACACTGAAAATAGTCATAGTTTCATTAACCCTTGAATAGTATAGTCTTCAAGCGTGAATATATCATGTTCATACATACAACTTACAAATTTGTAGCATTGGAATAAGACTTCCAAAAGACAATCAATACTTTCTACACTTTAAATAGGTCTTCTGGTGTCGTAGCCACAATTGTAATTGACTTAATACAAAGAGCCTGTTCAAGCCAGTTGGAAAACAGCATTCCTTATCAGCAGGCAAAGCTTGATGACATGATTGAAGTGCAATGATGGGAATTCAATTTTCGGGTAACAAAATAGAGACCATAGACCCATCCCATTCTATCACTATCAACCAACTAAGCCACGCTGTTTCTCCACAGCTGCTCTCAGGCCTGTGACCAGGCTCAAAACCAGAATGGGATGCAATGGATAAGAGTTTACTTGTCGGTTGGACACATCACAGAACGGACCTAGCCAACAGAAATCAAAAGAATAAAATGAATACCCAAATATATAGTAAATAGTAGTGTTCAAGAGGGAAAGTATCATTGATGGTTTTGTAAGGTGCTGGTAAATCAGTACAGTCAAAAGCTCCATTTCCAGAAGCTAGGGGCACATGTCATGAATCTTAAAACCTCCTTGCCAACATCTGATTGACGAATGCCTGGTTCACAATAATTCCAACAGGAGAAATTGGTACTGACTGCTTGATTCCCGTTGTGGAGTCTGATAGTCAGTCTTTCACACAATGGACTTGTGCGTGGGCCGTTGTAAGAATAATGCTCCCTGTTTGACATTTTAATAATCAGAAAGAACTAAAACGTCCTAGAATCTAGGATCGAGATAACAAGGTGTTTCTGGAAATAATGAATAACGGAGAATTTAGTTGAGTTTCTTTCCTCCTTTCTAACAAAAATATTGCTTTGACCTTGAAGCTTACGCCTCCTGATTTAAGAAAGCAAATTCAATGTTCTTCCCTGGCCTGACAACAACCATAATATTACTCCTAACACCAGTCTCTATGGGAAGCTGAAAGAAGAAATCTCAAGGAGCACATAGCTTTACAAAGGTGTCAACCTTTAAACCGAAGTCTGATCTACCTGTTGAGGTGGATATTAAAGTTCTCTTCACACTATTCGAATATAGAACAGTTTCTTCAGATGCCGCTGACAATCCCCCAGATAAAATTGGTCATGCACTTCATGGCTGTTTGTACATTGCTGTACACAAATAGGCTGCTGTATTCGCCAACAAAATACACAGTCAATACACTTTACAGTAAATCCTGTGAAGATCTTTGAGACATTCTCCCAGTGTAAAAGTGGTGTATCACACACAGGTATGATTATTATTATTATCAGTGAAGTGTACAATGGGCATTTCCTGATTCAATTGGCAGCACTTTTGCCTCTGGATGAAAATTCAGTGGTTGCAAGCACTATGTTAGACCTGGAGAAGCAAACGTTGCTTTGTTGGAGATTAAGGAATGTTTTACACAATTTAATCGGACATCAAATGTCAATTCAGCTAGGAAATTGGTAAAATTGAACATCTGTAGTGTATCGTTTATGCATTTTCTTAGCTTCACCCACAAAATATACAATCAATTCACTTTTACAGTATATTCTGTGAAGCTCTTTGAGATGTCTCAAAGACGTTATTAAGGCGTTATATCAAATGCAAGGATTTTTATTATTATTATTATCATCAGTTCGAAGCTTTGGATTTAAATGTTTTTTTAATAGCCCAGCTGGGCAGCTCATTTACCCACTGAGGCACTGGGGAATTTTTCATTAAAAACGGTTGAAACATAGCGATAGAAACTTGGTAGTGGACTATTCTACACACATCTTCATTCGTTCACGGCAAATCATGAGTAATATATCAACAGGGAAAGCAGTTGAGGGAAACTGAAAGAGAGTTATGTTCAACATCAAGACATCTTTGCAAAATTCTAACCCTGTAGTAAGTAAAACAACTCGGTGGAGCTAAACAGACATGATGTGAAGACAAAATAGGTTTTTTATTAGGCTTTTTTTTAAACCTGAAAGTTATATTTCAGCACAGCATATCCCCACTTTAAGGCAAGTTTTTGATAACTGCATTACAGAAAACTGTTCTGAAATATTCCTTTAAGGTTCAACTAGTTTTAATCAGAATAAAACATGGGCAGAGTTGGCGAGTGCTACTTTCTATTCACTCCACAACACATTTGTATCAATGTTGGTTTCAGATCTGGATTTCTTTTCTAATAAGTTTAAAGATGCAGTTTTAAATTTCCTAAACAGCAACACATCACTGCGCATCGGTGCTTTAGTGATGGAGAGTGATGGAGCACAGGTTGATGCCCAGTAATCTCCATAATGCAAGTAACAGTCTTAATTTAGCGTTAGAGAGATGGTGAATAGTGAAAGTCAGGCACTGCCCCACAGAGGGAAAATAGAGATTTCCCTCTGAGCTGCCCTCACATAACATGCAGATGGCTGAAGAGTGCCTTTAGTCACAAGCCAGGGAGAAGGTCACATTATCAACTGCACTACCTTCTGAGGCGCCACCATAAGTAGTTATCAATTCAACAGCACAAATTCAAAGGGCAGGTTCTTTCATGCATGCAAAAGCAGTGAAAGAGTGCTCTGTGGAGCTAATTTTCCAAGACTTCCATTTACATGGAGTCCTGTAGCTCAGTTGGAGTCCTGTAGCTCAGTGATTAGAGCACTCGCTTTGCAAGCGAGAGACCTGAGTTCAATTCCAGGCAGGTCAGGGCGAAACCTTGAGCAAGTTTCCTAACTCCACACGCCTGATAATAATCCCTCAAGAAAAAAACAATAATAAGTTGGTCACTTCAATCCACGACTGTTTGTGGCACACTGCTGTGCGCAGTCGGCTGCCGCGTTTCGCCCACAAAATACACGGTCAATTCACTTTACAGTATATTCTGTGAAGCGCTTTGAGACGTCTAGAAGATGTGGAAAGCGCTATATCAAATGCAAGGATTATTATTATTATATTGACACATCTGGGTGTGCTGCTTCCTAAGGTGTAGAGAATACTTTACTGACTGTCGAGTGGCTTCAGTCAGAGAGGTTAGGCACAAGGCTAAGATGTGCAAACAGCATACTGTAATGTATTTTCACCTTTTTTTAAATTATTGCAGAGTATCCAGAATTTGACAAGTTCGTAAATGCGCTCTTAAGTATCAGGCCCTGACCAGTATCTTCTCAGAATGGATTAAAAACTGGAGAAAGCAATGACTCTCCGATCACACATATCCTTGTCCACCCAAACTTCAAATTCTAATAGATTCGAAAACTGAAATTATGTGACTTTAGTTTTGGTGAACAAGTCACTTTCTATGCTCTCCCCACCTCCTTAGCTATAGAGCTGTGCATTACATAGAGTGCTCATAAAACAAAAGAAAATGGACTTCAAAAAAGAACGTGTGACAAAATCTAATTTTTCAAAAGCCTTTTGAAGTCCAAAGGTATCGATTAACTGAATCCCATCTTTGCCAAGTTCAGCAGTGCTCATTGAGACATGCTTAACCTACCATTTCTTTTCCAGTCTCCCCGAGGAGGTTAATTCTGTTGAAATCGAAGCCAAGGTAAAAAGCATGCACAGAAATGATAATTTAATCTAATTTGTTTAGGGTACTAATGCGGAAACTTCGCAGGATTTTAATGTAATGCTTTGATTTTCTGCTTGCAGTCCACCATGCCAGTCACATCATTCCATTAAACAAATACTGGAGCCAACATTCTCTTCAGACTAGTTTAATTTATTTATTAAGAGCAGAGCACAGGCCACACGATCCATAGATCGTCCGTGACAACTCGGGCATAACATAGGGCAGGAAGCTCTGTTTAGGAGAATATAATGGGATATTAAAATAGGCACTTTTATTTAATTGATGTTATTTTAATTAGGAGAATAATTAGGATTATTGTAAGGTCAAAGATATCATTAAGACTCCCTGTGAAGCACCTTCCATTTCTCTCCTGCCACTTAGAAAAAAAATCTTAATACGATTTAAATGCTATAAAATGAGCCATTGCTAATTGGCATGCCAAATAAATGAAAGAAAAAAACGTACAGTTATATAACATCCGATTGCTTCGAAACATCTCAAAGCGCTTAAGCGTGAATTACTGTCAAACAATGTGACTGGGTTTGTAGGCAAATGCAGCAGCCATTTTGTGCACAGCGAGGTCCCACAGAACCTCTTTGCTGAGTGATCAAATGATCTGGAGGACTGTTGGCCAAATCAGTGGGAGAAACTACCTCCTCTTTTTCGATTGGTGTCATGAGATCTTTAATATCAATAACAACAACAAATTAAATTTATATAGCACCTTTCACGTCGGGAGGACGTCTCAAATCCCTTCACGTAACTGACTTTGATCCCACATTTGGGTGAGGCGGGGAGGGGGGAAACGTAAATAGGCAGAAGAAATCATAATCTAACATTTCATCGGAATGAAAACATCAACGATGCAACCAGTACTACACTAGAACGACAGTCTAGACTTTTAAACTCGAATCTTGAGGTGGCGCTTGAATCCATGAGTCCAGAGTAGTGTAAACTGAATCAGACTAAAAGGAATTGCCACTCTTCTTTTCCCCAGCTGGTCTGTGCAGACCTTGCTCAGATATCAGACTTTCTGGCAACCAGATGGAGAAAAAAAATCCGAACAACACAACCTTCAAACTACTGCACATGTGAGAGCTTTTGCATGTATAATTGCTGGTCTGTTGCCACTGGTGAGGTGGAAATCAGATTTCTGGCAATCCAGAGTCCTGCAGAGCAGGTTCCACTTAAAAGTCAGCCTACAAATCCTACAATACCTTGCAATTTAAGGGCAATTTTGAGTTACTCAACACAACACTGATGCAGCCTTAAAGAGATGCTCCTGCAAGTGAAACCATTTCAAAGGTTTACTAAATTGCAGGCGTGCACACTCATGCCACCAATTTTATCCGACAATTTCACAATAAAAATGCTTTGGTATCCGTGAAGAGAAAAATAAGCATCAGCAAACCTGGTTTAGAAACAAAGATCCAATTTGCTGTTGAATTTTCTTTTCTCCAACAACCAAACACTCCGACCACAGGATGAACTCACATAACTCCTACCCCAAAAGAGGATACACTATTTTTAAACATGATGTTCATTTTAGCAACTTCAAAGGGTGAAAGGCTGAGTAAATCCAGAGTCTTCTTGTACTGATAATGTCACGCAGAGTTGCGGAATATGTGGAATGAATCATTCCAGAATGTCAGTACGTTTAGGAGGATTTTGAGACCACTGTTTGGTAAAGAGAGGTATGATTTTTACTATACTTTACAACCATCGTTTTTTCCAGCCCTGTACATTCCTTTGTTTCTGTGTCAAGTATTTCACTAACTGAGCTTCACAGGTTGTGAATTAACCATTCTTTCCAGTTGCTCCCATTGGTTAGTGATATTAACGACAGACGTTATGAGGAATGCGAAAGCTGAGGCTGAGCTGTAAAAGTTCACATTGAAACAGTTTTCTGCATCATAATCTCGCCAAGGCTGCCAACATTGGAGAATGAAAATAGAGATTTCAGAGTAAGCTGCTCTAAGTTAGGCCTAGCCAGACCTCCCCACAAAAACAAAATGACCTTTAACAACAACTGCGAACACATTACATTGGATGCCAGCATTCTATAGTCAGAAAAGAATGCCCAATTCTCATTACAGGTCAAATCTACAACGTGTTATGCAACTGGCAAACCTTTAGTGCCATTTGTTGCCAGGTGTAGAAACCCAAGGTGTCAGCTTGGCTTATACAGGACAGGCAAGAAACCAACATCATGAATTAAATACAAATCCTCTCCACCATGTTAAAAAAAAACTATAATTGGTTTGTTAGGTCAACTCAAGGGATTAGACTCGGGGCTTTATTTAAATTCCTAAAGTGTACAGAAAGCAATTATAGGAAAAAAATTAAACTCTGTATGACATCCAGTGCAAAATAACTCTCCCACATAATTCATATTCATTTGGTGTTCTAATATAATGTGCGGAAGACTTAAAGGTAGAAATATGCAACTAAATAAATGTTTGAAAGATAAATTTGTGTTGTAACATTCATGTGTTAAGCAATGTTAAAGATAACAAATGTAGAAAAGATTGTTTTTTTTCTCTGGGGGGGGGGGGGGGTGGGATGGGGGGAGATTTTCCCCCACTGGCCTTTGACTACCATAATCTCAGCATTCCCTTGATATTTAGTTAAAAAAAAGCCTGAAAACACTAATTGCTCTCAGTTAAGCACAGTCTTTTGGATCATTGTGTAAAATTCAAGACAACACCCCCAGAACAAAGATGACTTGGGGTTAACTCCCAAACAAAACTACTCCTCAAACATCTTGGTGAATGTCCAGGAAATGAGTGCCTCTGATCCCCTCCAGTGTTGGTCAGGGGCGAGCAGTGGTAAATAGCCCTGAAATAAATGCCAGGAGCTAAATATATAAAAAAAAACCACACACACATACACCCTATGCATTAGTGAACATCCTGCACAAGAATCAGTCTAGGTGTGCAAAATTAAACTGGAGCTTGCAGGCAGTTTCCTTACCTTGTGTGTTTCTTCTGGTTCCCAGTGAGTGAGTGAGTGAGTGAGTGAGCAGAGCTGACAGTGTTACTCGCCTCCCAACTCTTTGTGCTTCTTTCTCTTTGACAGATGGTGATTCAGAGCCGAGGGGGAGAGAAGGAGAGAGAAAGAGAGGAAGGAGGGAGAGAGAAAGAGAGAGAGTGTGTGTGTGTGGGGATTGCTTCTGTCTTTGCTGCTAAATTACCATCACAACTCCTCTAACCTCACTTTCTGCCCCAGGGTCTCAGCTGACACTTGGTACAAGGCATTTACTTTTTTTGGGGGGGGAAAAAAAACACACACAGAAAAAAAATCCTCAAATGCAAACCTGCCCCCTCCACCCCACCACCCTCCACCGAAAAAAAAAGGACAAGAGAAGAGAAGAGAAAGAGAGAAAGAAAAATGAGTGTTAGTGCAACAGAGGAGACACAGTGCAAAGCCACAGCGATAGGCAAATGTTTAAAGAGCCTCAGTCAAACCAGTGCCTACGGCAACATTGTAGCCACTCACTCATTCACTCACTCACTCACTCACTCACTCACTCACTCATTCACTCATTCACTCACCTGCTCCCCAATGTCCTCAGACACCCCAACTTCACACCCCCCCAGCGATGCTCTGGTTACCCCCCACCCCACCACCCCCACGTTTCCTCCTCGATCCGCCCGCTTCTTTTCTTAATCGGATGATGTTTCCTTCCCGGCTTCTGGGAGAGAAATTATTTTTTACACACACACCACTGCGTGTGTGTATATATATATAAAGTGTCGGAGTCTGCCATCTGCTGGTTACTTAGCTTCGTAGAAACGGGAGTAGGCGATTCAGCCCATCGAGCCTGTTTCGCTCACACATTGCAGTCAATTCACTTTAGAGTTTATTGTGCGAAGCGCTTTGAGACGTCTCGAAGACGTGATAAGGCGTTATGTCAAATGCAAGGATTATTATACTATCTGTACCTCAAGTCCAATTACCTGCCCTTGCCCCGTATCCCAATATAATAATAATAATCCTTGCATTTGATGTTGCATCTTATCACGTCTTGGAGACGCTGACATCAATAGCAAAATTGTTCACCTCCCTGGGAATCTGTGAATTCAGGACAAACCAGGAATTAAACTTAGGACTGTATTCACCTGTACAGCTCAGCACCACATCATAACAGGCGTTTACACACCAAGTCATTGGGCCACAGGACACAGGTCTACTGTGTGTTGGATCGTTCTGTAGTATTCATGGCTATGATGTACCTGGACCTGGCAATTTAGGGGCATCTGAAATTTTCTTTGCTGAGTATAATTTCTCATCCTTTATGTATTTATAACTCCTTGTATTCCCCCCCCCCCCCCCCCCCCCCCCCAATAATCAGTATTATTTGATGCAATGAGATTTCTCTGATGTGCTAACCGTTTGAGGAAATCTTAACTATTCATCATTATACCTATCCATCTCATCAACCGTGTCTTACAACAGTATTGTCTAGGTTTAAAGTTTTGAACCTGTTCCACTGAGATAGAAAGGATTGTTGCTGTGTTTTATGATTGTATAGTTACACACATCTTATACTCTTGCTGGTCCACTAACGTTATGGATTTAGATTTGAGCCAATGCGTTTTATTTTGTGGGAACTCACTCTTTTTTTTCACGTTTCCCATCTGTTGTTTGTTAAAAGCCCCACCCTGTTGAAAGTACTGTGCTACTAATTTGATTTATTAGTATAATGCCTTGTGTTGCCCTGCTTCATAGAGTATATCTTTTATATTTGCAATTTGTTCAGCAGTGTTTGGTTGAGTCCATTTCCTCGCTTGGCATCAGTTCTCATCATTTCAGAGAGACTGCGGTCAGCTTGATACAGTACATGTGATAGCGAATGAAATACGTATGTAACAAAAAAAATGCCACCTGAAACAGCAAGTTTACATTCATTTTTGCATCAGCGTATCGGGCCCTTCACGGGGAAGATTTATAAATATCATATTTATTAGTGTTCACAGAAGCAGTTCATTGAAAAGAGCCGCACACATATGGTGTTTGTTATCTAAATGCTGTCTGAGGATTTACTGAACCTATCTGAATTGCAGAAGGATTTGTGCATACATTGGTGTACGTGCAGATCTTTTTTTAAAAAAAATCAGGAAACCTTTCCCCTAGTTCCCCTAGAATAGAATTCTGTCTCCATCCTCCACTGTACTGAATAGCTTGGGATGTTGATCTTCTCAATTACCATCCTTTTAATTTATTTTTACGCAGGAAGCATGTCCTGACTTACAAACTTACTGTATACAATGAATTGTGTTCTTCACTTCACTGGCAATTGTTACTTAGGTCTGTAACTTTCAAAGTATAAATATAATTACTCCGTAAACACATCAAGGGAAAACAGTTGGGATCAAAAGCAAAGGTCTGGAAAGTGGAAGCAGAAACAAACAAAGATGAACAGGAAACCTCTCCCAATGAACAGGACACCTCCTGCTAACTTTGAAACAAAATAACTCTAGTTATTTTCAAGTTTTTAAATTCATGACTGTAACATGTGGATTATTATTATTTACTGTTTTGAAAGGAATTGGTAAGCATTCTTAAACTGCTTCAAATGTCACACCTATGACTGAAATAAGATTCTTCGGTTGAGACGTTAGTCCCGACTGCTTGTTCAGGTGGATGTTAAAGATTCCATGGCACTATTTGACAAGAAAAAGGAGTTTCTCCCAGTGTCCTGATCAGCAAATCCCTTAATAAAATTGATTATTCACTCCATGGTTGTTTGTAGGGCACTGTAGTGTTGTCACATTCGCTAACAAAATACACAATTACTGTATAATGTGAATCCGGTAAAGCATTTTGAGATATCTCTTCCCAAAGTGAATGGTTCCATCGATATGTGTGTGTGTGTGTGTGTGTGTATATGTGTGTGTGTGTGTGTGACACATCCATTTTCTACTTCTGTGTCAGTTTTAGTGTTTCTCCCTCTCCATCTAATTAACAGCATTCCACTGTCTGTTAGTGACTTGGCTCTCTCCTTCCTGATGTACTTCTGATTAAATATCTTTCTTTTTGCTCTGCTGGTTGAACTATTGGTGGTTTCCGGAATTGTCTCTTTATGTAATAAAATACCCTGTCCTCCTTTCGAGTCTAATCCTGAAATCCTAGCATTTATTCGGATTGCAAAAGAATTCCAAAGCTGGTGTAATCTCTTAAATCACAAAGGAGCGAGCGAGGGAAGCATGTCTCTTGACGTTGTACTGTGCTTCGTGTCTCAGTGTATGTAATGTGCCATCTGCTGTTGGGATTGTGTAAATTCTGTAAACTGCCAGTGTTCATCCGATGCACATGGCATAATTGGCAAAAGGTTTCCATTTGGAAAATAACTAATGATCTGGAAGTATTGTGGCATTCTCTGGAAATAAAGGTTAAAATACATCCTGTGAAGTGTTTGGTACGTCTCGAAGTATTGATAAGGCGCTATATCAAATGCAAGGATTATTATTATTATTAATATTGAAAAGTAAGCTTCTGACCAACAACAGTTAACATAGGAACAGGAGTAGGCCATTCAGCCCCTCGAGTCTGTTCTGCCATTCTATAAAGTCATGACTGATCTATAATAATAATAATCCTTGCATTCGGGAGGAATGCAAGGATTCTCACGTCGGGAGGACGTCCCAAAGCGCTTCACAGAATATACTGTAAAGTGAATTGACTGTATATTTGTGGGCGAACGCGGCAGCCAATTGCGCACAGCAATGTCCCACAAACAGTCGTAGATTGAAAATGACCAATTTGTTATTGTTTTTTTTTTGGTTTTGGAGGGATTATTATTAGGCTCTGTGTGGAGTAAGGAAACTTGCCCAAGGTTTCGCCCTCTGCCTGGAATTGAACTCAGGTCTCTCACTTGCAAAGCGAGTGCTCTAACCACTGAGCTACAGGACTCCACAGGATCTGTACCTCAACTTCAACTTCAATTACCCGCCATTGCCTTATATCCCTTTGAATGGATCCAGCATCCAAAGCCTTTTGGGGGAGAATTCCAGATTTCCACTACTCTTTGTATGAAAAAATTCTTCCTGATTTCACTCCTAAATGACTTAGCTCTAATTTTAAGATTATGCCCCTTTGTTCTGGCTTCCCCCAAAAGAGGAAATAGTTTCTCTGTAGCTACCCTATCGAATCCATTTATTATTTTAAAAACCTCAATTTTAGATCACCCCTCAACCTTCTAAACTCAAGGGAATGCAGTCCAAGTTTATGCAACTTGGCCTCATAATTTAACCTTTCAAGCATTTAAAGGTGACCTTACCTTCATTTTTACTTATTCCAGTACTAGCCATTACACAGTTTTATAATAATTTGGCATGAGTTCTTGTCATGGAAAGGCAGGATAAAGACAGCAGTATATTTAATTGTCCACATTGAATGTGAATCAGATCCCTCCCCCAAAGCAGTTTGTTTTCTGCCTTTAAAAACCCTCTTAAAAGTGTATCTCTTGGACAACGCTTTTGATCTACCTCGTTTCCTCCCTGCTCGGTGATCCCTTTCGTCTGTGTAAAGCACTGCAAGATGTTTATCCTGTGTAAAATATGTGTATGTGAATTCAGGTTGTTGTAAAAAAGGCCTTTCCTTAGGTAAAAGAGTGTGGGTGTAGGTTAAAGATCAAGTTACTGAAACACTGTAAGGCAAACAATCTGCACTGGACAAGTACTCACAAGTTTAAAAAAATCATCACTCGCCATTTGTTTGGTTGTACTGCAGTAGCATCCCTCCATAATAATAATCCCTCCAAAACCAAAAACAATAATAAATTGGTCATTTTCAATCTACGACTGTTTGTGGGACATTGCTGTGCGCAATTGGCTGCCGCGTTCGCCCACAAATATACAGTCAATTCACTTTACAGTGTGTTCTGTGAAGCGCTTTGGGACGTCCTCCCGACGTGAAAAGCGCTATATCAAATGCAAGGATTATTATTATCTGAATAAATTGGAACTGACACACAGAATGCATTACTAAGCAGTCTACACTGGATGGCGCCAGTTCATGTTAACTCCACAGTGTGGTTCATTATTGTAGTTTTCATTATAGTTTCTCAGACGCTGAGTAATAAAATATGTTCAGCTGCAAAATAAATCTCAAACCGTGCAACAATCTAGACATTTTAACAACATACCTATGAAACTATTTCTCTTTGAGGTTCCATCTCAATGACCCTTAATCTCATTGCAGTTAGGTTTCTGTATAAAACACAAAATACTGCAGATGGTGGAATCTGCAACCAAAACAGAGAGAGCTGGGAAAACTCAGCAGGTCAGGCAGCATGATGAAGGGTCCCGAAACGTTGACTCACTTTCCTTTCTCTATAGATGCTGCCTGACCTGCTGGGTTTTCCCAGCTCTCTCTGTTTTTGTTTCAGGCTTCTGTATAATTTGGCCGAGTGGGGGTCACATTTCTCACTTCTCCCTAAAGCATTGTCAGGATTGGTAAATGGAGTACGAAACATTAATTTCAGCCTTTCCAAGTTGGTTTGAGAGGTTAGATTGGGGTCAGCAATTTCCCCAAACGGTCATGAGCAGGAAACAAGGATAGAGAGTAAAACAACATTCCCACTACCAACCGTTCCACTCCAGAAATTTTTCATATTCTATTAAAAGAAAATTTACTCCAATCTGACCTCTCAGGCTGAACGAGGTGTCTCCAATTTGCACAACCCACCCTTTTTGCAAGTACAGTATTACGA